AAAAAAAAAAAAAATCACTTAGAACCAGACGGTAAGAAGCCTGCTGAGGCAAGGAGGCTTGAGCCAGGGAGGGCTGCCCTCCAGGGACCAGAGTTCAGGGAGAGAGACTGTCAGGCGCTCAAGGGGACCCAGCGTCGAAGGTGAGGGGCATGGAGCTATGAGAATGAACCAGGAGGGCCCCCCCCCCCACTTCCCTCCACACCAGACGCTGGGCATCGGTGAAGCAGCAGACCCATCCTTGTGCACGTCAGAGCCCCATCCCGGGGCTCAGAGCAGGTGTCACAGGGACGCTCTGGTGCCATCATCCTGGAATTACACATTGTCCCCAGCTCGCCTCCCCGGTGACATATGCCCCAGAGGCGTCCCTTCTAGAAGACCACGCCCAGATGATGTGGGCACAGAGATCCATCCCGGGGCTATTGGCAATAAGCTTCTTTTCCATCCAGTCTGCAGGGAGACGCCTACAGCACAAAACTGGGTGAAAAACCGGAATGTGAGACTGTATTTAAAAAGCCACAGTGTGAAGTAAGCAGCGACAAGAAGCAGGCTCTCCCGTCCAGAGACCGGGTCGGTCATTAAGAAAATTTAACCTGACCCAAAGGGCAGCAGGCGAGCTTTACTGGAGAGAGATCGCTGAATCCTCCCGTCCCCTGTCCTGCTACAGACTGGCCACAGGCAGGCACTTCCAGTCTGGGGAGCGGTGGCCTCTTTGTGTGGAAGAGGCAGGACCTGAGGCCAGTGGAGGGCAGGACACAAGGTCCCAGGACTCTAGACGGGCAGGGGAAGGGGCAGACAGCTCAGCAGCAGCCAGACAGGAGCTACAGGGAGGCTCCTCTCTGCTGCCCTAGGCAGTACCCACCCTTGGCGCGTGCACACACATGCAGCACACGCACACAGCACCACACACACACGCACGCGTGCACACACACGGGGGTGGTCACGGGCGTGCACACACACACAGCACGTGTATGCACGCGTGGACACATGGGTTCAGACACATACACACTACACGTGAGTACAGACGTATACACGTGTGTGCAGACACACACCCAAAGCACGCACAGGGACACGTGTGTGCACACACTCACGGCTTCAATTCCGTATCGGAGGGCGCGGGCTACTGCTCTGGGGCAAGGTGGACCTTCATGCCTGCCCCTGGGGTGGCCCAAAGCCCATTCACAGGACTCAAAACAGGCACAATCCCAAGCAGGCAGAAGGGTGAAGCTGGGGCTCTGTGGCTGCCCTGAGCCCTCTGTGGCTGTGCTGTCTCTTCAGAAGGATCACCTCCCGGCAACCCACATTTCTCAGGAGTCAAGATTTCCCAAGATTGCAAAACCCAACAGCCAGTGCAGAGCCGGGAGGGTGAGTCAGGGCAGGAAGTGAAGCCAGAGAATGCTCTCCTCCTAGACTCGTCTGTGCCCTTGTCCCCTCACCCAGAGGCTGCTAGAAAGGTCAGTCCGATCTTACCCAGCCGCGCCCTGCCTCCCTGGGAGAGAAAGAAGTCTCCCAAAGGCCACAGGCCTGAGGGCCACTTCCACCAGCGGGAGCAGTGAGGGCCGGGGCACAGCTTCCCCCACCCTGCCTCCCTCCTCCCTTGTCTGAGGAACCACAGGCTGACACCCCTGCCCTGACCTGAGGGTAGCACACAGCAGGGAACTGAGACACGCCCCACCTGGCCCAGCAGATTGAGGGGGGAGGGCACCCGCGGAATTCACAGGGACCCTAAGGGCCACAGGGACAGGAAGGAGGAACAAGGGAGAACATTTGACCCCCCCCCCCATTTTGGCCATG